ATATATATATATATATATATATATATATATATATTGGACAAGCTATGAAAGAAAAGTGGTAGTTTTCACCCAGAAACTATTTCATATTATATGATTATGAAACCAGCACTCACAGTGAGAAGTTTGTTTGTAGTTAAGCACAAAGCTACACAATGGGCTATCTGTGCTCTGCCCACCACAGGTATCGAAACCCGGATTCTAGTATTGTAAGTCCGCAGACATACCACTGTGCCACTGGGGGGGTGCAGTGAGAAGAAAGCAGCTACTAACACAATGCACAGTTATGTTCTAGACAAACAAGTTTAGCCTTTGAATTTGATTTTTGAAAACAACATTTTGACATTGAGCTGCAATTACAGTATTTCATGTACTCTTGACAGCGTTGCTGAATTATTTTAATGTAAACATGCAACTTCCTGCTTGCTATAATGCACATCACACCACACAACTCGAATTTCTAAACATTTGGTGTATATGCAAGGAGTACAGTTACAACTTACAATGAAGTGTAAGTCTTGCACATACACCAAACAGAGTTATGCACTTGAACTTTACCTTGCATTAGCTTTTTATTACTGTGTACTCATGTAAAAGTAATCAACAAACTCCATTAATAACTTACTGAATAAGTTTTAATTGAATTGTTAATATATGCATGTTTACCATAAATTTTTTATAATTTAAACATCTCGAACATAATCTTGCAACTAGTACTATATACATATATCTACTAGACTGAATTAAAAAGTACTGAGCATGTCAGAATCTCATCCCGCGCAGTATTATATTACATTATTAACGTTACAATAACAGTAACACACCGTTAAGCCTAACAGTAAGTGAGTAACAGAAATTACCTTGATACGGTTTCATAAGCGAGTGTTCTTTTTTCAAGTAGTCATTTGTGTTCCACTGAGCATAGGCTGAATTTTTCGCATGCCCTAATATCGCTATAACAAACCAAAATAAAAATATGTTACAATGAAGTTTAAAATATCTATTTACGTCTCTGTTCATTTTCGTTCGCTTAATGCAAACACCACACTTATAATAACGCAAATGTATCGCCAAAACACTTTAGTAATGGTTATGCGACTACTCAGAAGGTGGCTCGTTACACAAAACACCGATTTTCAGAACGAGAACGTTAAAAGAGTAATTATTATTATTTTTATGATAGACATATATAGATATATATATAATTTAAAATTTAAAATGAATTAACATAACTTTCTTCTTAGAAATACAAATCTGAGTCCAATTGTTTCTTAAGTACCCATGGCTTGTGATTTCTTTTCTTTTTGTGTTTTTTTTTTTTATATATAATCAACAAATAATATTATTCTATGAAAACAATTATTATGGTATGAACGCCATATAAAAGCCGACGAAGCATGATGTAATTAATTATATTTGTCATAAGACATTGTGTTAAGCCTATATATTTTTTAACTCTACATTCTTTATCTAGTCTCATGGGGATTTTCAAGAATCAGAAGAATGTGTAACAACAGTATTTCAACCACAGTATATTCATCATTTTTCATTATAGACGACGCGCTTCACTCAAGCCAGAAATCTTCACAACCCCAAAATACACTTTTCTAATATTTGAAAATCCGTTAGGGACTAGTCTAGGAATTTAATGTAAAAAATATAATAGGCCTAAAATAATGTCATATAACAAATATGATTAATTATATCATGCTTCGCCAGCTTCTAAAAGCCGTTCACATAATAACAATTGTTGTTGAAACAAGTGGTTATATACAAATGGTATTCCGACCACTATACGGGGTTAGTTGTATCCTAGCCGTCATGAAGAGCTCTGGACTGAGCGAAACGCGTCGTCGGCAATGGATATGACAAATATAGTGTGGTTGAAATCCTATTACTGTACACTCTTCCAAATTTTGAAAATCTGTAAGGGATTGGATTAGGAGTTTAGTGTTAAATATATAATAGACGTAACATAATGTCTTATGAAACATATAATGAATTATTATATGAAAGTTAGTTTATACAAAATGGAAGACCACAGATAACCAGTCAAGAATGATTGGATGTGCCACTGGTGAACAACCTCTGCCAGTTAGAGCTGTTTTCCTAGCAGGAGAGACAGTGGGCATCCATGAGTAAAAATCAGGAACTTGGGTGGTAATTAAGCCTCTCCAAGCTGAGATGTATCCTATGATGTCACATACAGCTCACAATGATACATGGGGCCAAGCAGGGGTGTATGATAGGTTGCCATGAACAACTCGTCACCCTACTGCCCTGGACCAATTACTTGTGTTAGTGTAGGAATTACTGAGAAAGCCTATCACCCTGCACTTATACCATTGATGGTATCTAAGCTAGGCATTGCCCAAGAACCCATAAGGGAAAGACTTAGGCCAGCATCACAGGCCCCTATGAGTGAGATCAAACATAATATGCTATCATGCTCAAAGGTGGAGCAAAAAAGATCAAGATTGTCTCCTAAAGTGTTTCAGACAATTAACTATCTGAAATGAATGGGCTTAGAAACAGGCTGTCCAACACCTGAGCCTGTGATTGGATGGCCAAACCCTCGATAATATTGACCACCTGGATGAGCAGTAAAGGAAATGGGAGACAGTTATCAGTGAGCTACATTGCCAGTTCGACCCAGTGTAGAATCGAGTTATCCATCAGGCTGAGTTTAAGGCATAGAGGAGAACTAGCACCAACAGACTAGCCCCCTATGTGGATGATCTCTACCATTATGGAAAGTATAACCCTACAATTGCATCTGCAGATCAGGAGATATATTTTTTGACAAATTCATTGGGGTTTCTCCCATGAAACCACAAGATAACATCTTTGTGTGAAAGACATTCTCACCCTATCCAAGGCAGTTTACATTGTGATCCATTATGAAGTAGTAGCTTTGAACTAGTTGTCAGGAAGGAAAAACCATTAGTGACAACTGTAGTGCTTACATCCTAGATGAATCACACTAATCAAGAATCTCCACTGCATCGGGTTAGACCTGCAGTAAAGGTTAACTAGCCACCCACATCCTGGCACTGTAATGCAACCACACTGGTTTCCAGTGAATGGACAGGGGAATTCAAGTTTATCCATGGAGTACATGGCGATGATTCCTCTGTCTGGATGTTCTCCAGGACAGAAAAAGTGAGTCATATGCTTCAAAAGTAGGATAGTGGAGCACTGGCAAGTACATTGTCTGTACTTTGCTGAGCAGCAAAAGTGGCAAATTAATTGGTTTCATCCAACAGCTCAGCATATATCAGCCACCTCACAATGTCAGTACTTTATCCAGCAACAAAGTAAGCAAGGTCATCTGTACCAGCCATCAGATCAACAGGTCCTAGATAACCAATAGTGAGTGGTTGATGCTGTAGCAAATTTTCCATCAAAATGATAGAGCCCAGTTCAGATTTGGCCACTGACTTGGAAAAGGACAGTGAAATGTTCACACTAAAGAGTTTAATGGTCAGCCCAGGTTTTTCAAGACCGAATGGAGCTTGATAGATACCTGTCAGAGCAGAGGTGAAATGTTGAGCTCTTTGTTAATGCAAGACATTGATGAACCTCGCGATCTTTCAACTCAGATCAGTGGATACTAACTTTGTCCTGGTGAATGGCAATTGACTAGATATTAGATGAATGTACATATCTGGCTCTGTCTAGAAAATGTCATCACAGAATGAAGGTAGATGACCTTGAATCTTAACTTATCACACAGAATACATGGAGTGGCTGAAGATACGTGCGTATGATTCCACCCAACAACAACTAAAGAATCTTGCCTGATGACATAAAAAGTGTTATAGTTGGACATAAAAGAATGGATAGTTCAGTGTAAATATTTGGTCTGATTGTTGTAAATACCAGCAGCATGGATCTGGCTGGATTATAGTGTATTTGAGACTCTGACAAGTTCATACATTAATGTGTGAGTTAAAGCAGATACACGAGATGCAAAAACTCATTGAACTCTTCAACAAGCTATATCCATTCGTCAGAGATGAGCTTTTGGAGCAAGGGCTTGACCAGTAGTCTGAGTCAGAGGAGTACAAGGATGCCATCTTAAATCATAATGACCCAACCAACAAGGGAGAAAGAGCTGAAGATACAGATCTGGCAGTCTACGAATCAGATGAGGAATAACTGGAGATATAAGTGGCAAACAGCTCTGATCACTAGATGACACAATCCTGTCAAACTCTCACAATATGAGTAGGCTGATTGATCATCAAAACTAGGATTATCACTGAGCCAAGAACCTGATGATTGGAAGGAAATGGCTATCCTTGCTTTCCAAGCTATTAAGTGATGCACACAAAGAATTTATGCAATACATTTCTATATTTCCACTTTATTAACCAAAATTTAGGAAGACCACGGACTAAAATGGTGTTGTGACCCTTGCTTTCTGAGCACCCAGTGGTGATATAAAGAATCATGTATGCTTTTTCGTGTAATTATCACCCATGCATGAGTGAGGAGAAACATTAGGGTGAGCAACTGACGATTGAAAGGGTGTTGCAACCCTTATTTTCCAAACTAGTAAGCATAGTTTAACTAAGTGAGATATCCACAGGATACTTTGTGATATCTGATAGATCACTGACATCTAGGACATTCACTAAATAAGTGTTTTTCTTTGCTTTCGCAGCTGTCAAATGATGCACACTGTATAATATATGCTCTATGTTTGTGTGATTTTCACTTGATTACACAGTTAGGACAGCCACTGATCAGCACCATCATAGATTGAAAGGAAGTGGTATTTCTTCCTTTCTAAGCTATCAAGTGAAACAAAATGTATAACTTGTGCACTACGTTGTGTGATTCCCATCTATGGGGCATACCTGCCAATTAATATGTCTAAGTCAATGAATTACGACACGTTGCTTGAAGACACATATGACATGGGAAAGCTCATTGCACCTCTAACTGAGCTGGTCCTGAGTTTCAACAGCATTCAACATTACTACTACTTTTGTTATCAAGGAAGGAGTTGAATCATCAGTTCAAGCTAATCATTCACACGCTGGCTAGCTTCACGTATTCTTTAATTAGCCAACTTTTTTTTCTTAACTTAGCTTGCACTCGCTTGGTCGTTTATATATACATATATACTGTTGCGTCATCGAGATCACGTGACTATTCTCACGCCCTCTAGTTTCTAGAACTATCCCGTACCTTGGCGAATGCTCTAGTATTTACTAGATAGGGTAGGCTGGTATATAAAAGAGGGTGACAACGTGACGAGGTAATGTAATGTGTGTGTAGATAGAGAGTAATTGAACTGCAGTCAGAAGTATTGTTGACATAGAGTTTGTTATGGAGCGA